TGTCGCTTACTGGTGGAAAGCCTGCTTTGCCTTTCTGGGGACATTCACTGCCACACATCACTGAGCACAGTCCCTACCACTGCCAAGCACCTCTCCAGTGCCAACAAAAGTGACCACGTGTGACATAACCAAGCATTCAATTCTTGGAGCATCTCCACCGAGTATGAGTTTTGCAACCAAGTGTGTGTCCCCTGATACCACAGAAAAGCTCACCCCCCAAAAAAACTACAATTTGGTATTCACTTTCACACAGTATGAAAACAGCTGTATTATGAAATAAACGATAGATTTGTGTATGTGTGTGTGTGTGTGTGTGTGTGTGTGTGTGTGTGTGTGAGGGAAGTGCAGTAGATACAAGATCCAGTTCTATCCATGCTTTCATTTATCTCTAGGGATCTCGGAATATTCATCGGTCGGTAAGGGAGGACAACTATTTTTATTTTATTTATTTACTTTTTAATTTTTATTAGTGAAACAATGACAGAGCTCGGCAAGCTACCCATGACATATTCGATTATGCCAAACACAGTAACAACAAAGTCTCACAATGGAGACGTTACTGGGCCCACTCGAGAAAATAGATGAGCAACGGGAGGACAGGACAGATAGTATTAGTGAAACACCATGAGGTACAGTTGTAGGCTTACAAATTTTTGAGCTTGGGTTTCAGTTATACAATGATCGAATACTCATCTCTCCACCAGTGCCCATTCTCCACCACCACTGATCCCAGTATCCCTCCCACCCCCCAACCACCCATCCCATCCTGCCTCTGTGGCTGGGCATTATCTTTTTTTCTCTCTCTCCTTTTGGGTGCTGTGGTTTGCAAAAAGGGAATTGAGTGGCAATCATGTTCGGTCTATAGTCTACTTTCAGCATATATCTCCCATCCTGGGCGGATTCTCCCGACACTCTTTATTTGGTACTCCCTTCTGTATCTGAGCTGCCTTTTCCCCTAGCATGTGTGGCTGGCCTCCAAGCCATGGAGTAAACCTTCTGGTACTAATCTCGGTCATTCCTGGGTGTTAGTCTCCCTTTTTGTTGCTTTATGTTTCCCAGATGAATGCAATCTTTCTATGTCTATTCCTCTCTTTCTGACTCATTTCGCTTAACATGATACTTTCCATGTAGTACCACTTGTATGTAAATTTCATGACTTCATCTTTTCTAACCGCTACATAGTACTCCATTGTGTAGATGTACCAAAGTTTCTTTAACCAGTCATCTGTTCTTGGGCACTCAGGTTTCTTCCAGTTTCTGGCTATTGTAAAGAGTGCTGCAATGAACAAACAAGTGCAGATGTCACTTCGACTATACATTTTTGCCTCTCTGGGATATATTCCCAGGAGTGGTATTGCTGGGTCAAATGGGAGCTCAATTTCTAATTTTTTGAGAATCGTCCATACTGTTTTCCAAAAGGACTGAAACAGTCGACATTCCCACCAGCAGTGAAGGAGGGTAGGGAGGACAAGTATTTTTAGATGCACAAGTGTGCCTAAAAATATTAAAACTGAAAACAAAAAACAAGTAGAAAGAAATATATATTTTAATTGAAAGTTAATCTCTGGGGGCTGGAGCAACAGTACAATGAATATGAAGCTTGCCTCGCACATGCCCTACATGAGTTCAATTCCCGGCATCCCATATAGTGCCCCGAGCACTGCTAGAAGTAATTCCTGGGTAAAGAGCCAGAAGTTACCCCTGAACATTGCAGGGTGTGGCCTCCAAACAAGAAACAAAAAAAAGAAAAAGAGTCTCTGGCTGGGATGGTGATAAAGGGCTTGATCTGATCTGATTTTAAGTCCCAGCGCTATGGGACTCATCATAAAAAGTAGTCGGGAGGTTCCCCAGAAGCTCCCCAACCCTGTGTTACAGTCTTTGTGGCCTGGAGCACTAAGTAGCCCACAACAACACATCTGTGGGGCCCTCCACTAGACCTCTGATGTGGTCTGGCTGAACAAGTCTTATCAAGAATGACCCGAGTCAGCTCCCTGTACACTGCCTGGAAAAACATTTGACCATTTTCTATATAAAAACTATCTATACTCATTTTCAGCACTCTCATCCCTAAGTATTTAGCACAAGAATAAAAAAATTAATGCACAATTTTATAAAGAATGTTCATAGCAGTCTAGATTCTATTGGTAGAAAGTGAAAAATAAAATTAAAATTACCGATCAAAAGGAAAGACATTCAACGCCTTGTGATTTCTTAAGTCAGTGGAGTTCTGTACATCAATAAAGTCTCAGACCACATAGTGAACTTTACAGATACTAGTCTAAGTGAACAAAACTAGAAAAAGTAAACGTGCTCAGGTTTGGTTTTCAAAAGCATAAAAGTAAAACCGCTGTGCTAATTTTTAAAGGCTATATGAAAATTGGATTCTCTGAAAATAGTTTATTGTATTTTTTCTAGGTGGTACAGCTTTTTTATCTTTATTCATGATAATAATTATATACATCTATCAAACCTCAAAACAGAAAATGTAAGACTTTATTTCTTTGCTAAAATTTTAAGCCAACAAACTTCATTTAAATAAATCAATGAATAATGTTGACTACAATATAATTAAAGGAACAAATTAAGAGACGTCTTAATTCAATTGAGTTGCTTAATTGTAAAATTTAAATTACATGGAACTGAGTGGGTGAGTCCTCCCAAACCTCTCTTCTTCCTCAAAATAAAAAATAAATGATGGTAGGATATAAGGAATAAGAAACACAATAAATATATATATTTCTTATTTCATTTAGCGTGTCGATTTTATCTGCTACCAACCATTTTCTCAAGTCTTAGCTCTGGAAATAGAATGACAAATAAGACAAGTGATTCAGTGACTCACTGACCTCACAAAATTGGAAGTGAGGAAATGAACCGAGGACTGCAATGCTAGAAAATGTTATATGAGTGAAAATGAATCCAAGGTGAAACCATGAATTTTAGAAATAATTAAAAATTTATTTGGATATTGTAGATAAACTTTCTTTGCAATTTGAAATAGTATGAAAATCAAGTACTTATTGCCATTTAAAAAAAAACCGAGATTGGTGCACTGGTTTTGGAGTACGTACACATGAAACCATTATTAACTGTATTGTAAATCACAGTAGTGTAATCAATTTAATATGTTTTTAAAAGCAGTTTTGTAAACCACATATGCCTAGAGTAAATTTTAATCAAATTATTATTTTTCAAAGAAAAGGAGTTCAGATATCAGTATAGACAGTGTGATATTGAAGAATATAATTATCTGAGACATGAACAAAATTCTATTACAAAACCAAAAGCTGTTGCTAGGAGATCTTGGAATCACGGGCAGGTCAGCATTTATTACTCATATGAGAGGATCTAGGGTTTCAGCTCCCTGCATATGTTTAGTGTGTCACCCTAGACATCTGAGTGTGTTGAACATCTGTTTTTTGTTTTCATTGAGAGATGTCTTATTTGGAATGCCAAAAGAAGAATGGGGTCATTGGCTATTTTACAATGTGAAGTTATCCAGCAGGTTATCCTTGTATGAGGAATAATATTGTCAGGAAAGCCATAATCGCTACAATTAATCCTAACACACACTGAGGTCATTGCAGGCATCATTTCAAAAGAGATTGCCAAAGGATAGCAAATTTTCAAACATAAACAAGAGCAGTTTCTTGGAGAATGTATTGCTTAGTAATCATTATGAACTTATGAATGCTAAAATAAAAACATAGGCAACAAACAAAGTATGATATGTATGTGCATGCTAAATTAATGTTTGAATCATGTTTTACAGCTTAGGTTCATACATATTTATTGAAAATGAATAATTTATGTGAGTTATTCTACATTAATTTATTATATTTTATCAACTATGACATTATTGCCCATCATCTTGAACAATTAGAAAGTTATTTTTTTTCCTTTGCCTTTGGGCCATGACAGGAACAGGCCTTGCTCCTGGTTCAGTGCTCAGGTATCACTCTTGACAAGGTTCTGGGGACTATGTACGTGACAAAGATCAAACATGGGTTGGCCACTTGTAAGGCAAATGCCCTATCCAGGGTATTCTCTCTAGCCTTGAAAATAGTATTTTATGTGAAAGATCAAAATTTCACTAAAAACACAAGTTGATTATATACCTAATATCATGTATGATAAGGAATAAAGAAATTAATTATTTTAATTATGTTGTTCATATATAAAGTACATTGTGTTTTTACAGGTACGAATGAGTTAGGATGCTAAGTTTTGCACACTTTTTCTAAGAAACCTGTTTTATTTTCAAGTCTTTGTATCCTAAAACACATAAAATGTAGCAAATACATAATCATCTCCTACACTATAAAAAGTCATTTATTTTAATATTGCATGCTTTTTGTCTTACTATTATTAGTATAATTGCTGATTTTTAAGTTTATGTGCACATGATATAGATTGTAACATTACAAATTTACATTATGATTACAAGTTGAGTTCATAATCAGTAAAATAAAAAAATAGGTTATATAAACAGAAGAAAAGAAGGAAAACCATAGTGTTAAATAGAAAGCCAGAGAACACATTGATCATATATTTATTTTAAAAATTGATAGATTTTTGTACTTCCTTATTGCTTGTTATTTATATTTTATACAATGGGACTGTTAATTCGCATTAAAATATACCTGGAAAGAAAGTAGGAGGGGAGGAGAGTTAGGGAGAGAGGGCGAGAGAGAATATGTGCTGTGTAAGTCAATTATAGTTCATTTGTTTAGTAATTATTTCTTGGTATATGTTTCATATACCAAGGACCCATTTGCTTTTGAAGAGATTTGACTTTGTCTTAACACGTCCTATCAAATAGGTGAGTCTATCTTTAAAAATGTTATTCCTATTCAACTTTGATACTATCTTTCCAGTGGATTACAATTGGTCAAACCTTTTTAAGGTTTACTTTAGGTACAGTAACTAAGTCATAATATATCATAAAAATATTAAAAAGATATTAGCTCATATAATAAATGTACTCATGTTTCTTGTAGGAGGATGTAAGAAATGAGTATGTGGAAAAAGAGAAAAAAAGAGAATGGGAGACATTCAAGGTATAGTAATATTGATTGCAATAAATAGATTAGATATTTACTCATTTTACCGTATGTTAATTTATAAAGTAAATCAAGGCCTGAGCCAGAGTGTAGCAGGTAGGGCATTATTCACTGCATGCAGCTGGCCTGGGTTGATCCTTGACACCCTATACTGCCCCCAAAGTCCACCAGGAGTGATTCTTAAGTGTAAAGCCGGAAGTAAACCACTCAGTGATTCCTGGGGCTTACTCGTGGCTCTGTGTTCAAGGATCAGTCTGGGAGATGCTGGGGATATAAACAATTATACACTTACATGACAAGTACCTAAACCTCCATACTACCTATTCAGCCCCAGAATGAGAAAAAAAATCACACATTTTTAAAAGTAGCATCCTCTTTTTCTGACCAAGGTTATAAATTAGTGTGGTGTGAGACATTCCTCCACTGAAAGAAAGTGAAAAATGAAAGTCAGAGATTTAAAATATGGCACTTAACTTTTAAAAAGTACTCAAATGGACTCCTTGAGTAGGAAAAAGAAGTAGTTTTTCAGACCATTAAGCTCAATTATATTCTAAATTTGGAGCATTATGAATAAACGCTGAATAACTGTAATTTGATTTTGGAGTTATATAAACTAGTTTGGTAACAGAAAGTATGAAAGAAAAGTTATCTGATAGCAATGGGAAAGAAAGAGGGTTAAACCTCTCATTAAAACACTAGTTTCTATCAAAATTCAATGATGCACGTTTTATCTTACCTTGAAAAATTCCTAATTTGTGTTCTCGATAAGTTAGTTCTTGTCATGTTCTCATTAATAAGTGCCAATTTAGCTCTGTCCATAATCTTCATTTCTATATTTACTTAAAAACAAAGGTTGTTTTCATTCAAGGCACCCCCTAGGGGGGCGGGTGAGAGCCCTCTTCGCCCCAAGGGACCCAGCCCCAGCAGCTGACCTCCACTACCCAATCACCGCCACGCTCCAGGCTGCTTTATAAGACACTTACTACCCATCTTCCATAATTACCACACCATATTTGATGGGGTTCAGACATAAGGCAACAAATCATAGAGAAAAAAAAATATATATAGAGAGAGAGAGCCCAGCAAGCTACCAAGAATATCCCACCTGCACGGGCAGAGCCTGGCAAGCTCCCCGTGGCATATTCGATATGCCAAAAACAGTAATGATAACAAGTCTTATTCCTCTGACCTTGAAAAAGCCTTTATTCATTGACGAGTAAGGAGAGGCTGCTAAAATATCAGGGCTGGGAGAAATAGAGACATTGCTGGCCCCTGCTCGAGTAAATCGATGAACAATGGAATAACAGTGACCGTGATACTAAAAAGAGAAGGTCATCTACTGTTGAAACAGTATCTTTTTTATAATAATTTTCTGAAGTTAGCTTCATTCTTTAATCCTATACATGTTTAATTTTTTTGTTGTTGCTTTTGCTTTGGGCTGGAGTGAGTGATAGCACAGCAGTTAGGGCGTTTGCCTTATATGGCTGATCCAGGTTCAATTCTTCGGGCCCTCTTAGAGAGCCCAGCAAGCTACCGAGAGTATCCCGACCGCACAGCAAAGCCTGGCAACTCCCCGTGGCATATCTGATATGCCAAAAACAGTAATAACTAGTCTCATAATGGAGATGTTACTGGTGCCCGCTCAAGCAAATTGTTGAACAATGGGAGGACAGTGGACATTGCTAAAGTGATTTTGTTTTGTTTTGGTGGTCACACCCTGCAACACTGCGTTTACTCCTGCCAGGGATTACCCCAGGGCAAAACATGGGGGACCCTATCGGGTGGTGGGCCTCTATAGAAGTTGGGTGGGTAATATGCAAATACACCACTGTACTATCTCTCAAGTCTCCCATTTAAAAAAAAAACAGCTTGTCACTTATAAAAAATTTAATCTTTTAGATTTGACTTGTGATTCTATAAGCAGTTTTCCCCAGATGGAAGAGAGATAGGACATTAAGTAAGGTCTCTGCCTTTCATACAGCCAGTCAAGGTTTGGTCCCTGGTCCCACACACAGGGGTGCTCAGGAGTAAGTCCTGAGCATAGAGCCAGGAGTGAGGCGTGTGCCATGAATGTGACCATTAACAAAACAAACAAATGAAAATAGAATGCTGTCCCTACAAAATCTCCTATCCTATAGTATTACTTTCAATAATTTATCTAAAACAGTTCCCTAAACTCATTTGTAACTGTTTATTGTCAGTTTCACTATTAGACTGTGGTCTAACAAGGGAAATATTGACATTATCTTGAAGGTATAAGAACTTCATAATTTTGAATGAATGATTATCTAAACACTGCACTAGTACAGAAAAAAAGGTGTAATGACTTGTTAATGTCAGCTCAAATCTATGATATGGTCAATCTAAGAACTCAAGGCAGAAGTAAGAACGTGGTCAAACTATTTTTTTTAATATTCCCTACCTTCAGTCACATTATCATTACATATTTAGAAAATGAACACAGTACTTTGGGCTGGCTCTTTCAGACTTCAGATTTATTAAAGCAATTACAGGGACAATTTACAAGATCTGTTCACCCAGTCGGACATGAAATTTGTTCTAGTTCCAAGTTTTAACATCTAGATGATTTGCAATAACACAAGTTCATTTGCCACAAAAAATCTTATTAAATATGTCTTTTTAACTAGCAGTTTATTATTAGTCTGGTTAGAATGTCTCTTCTAGAGTTCAAGAGTTGTTGAAACTAGTGTTCAATTCCTCTCTTCCTATATATTTCAAGGGAGAACAGGCATTTTGTGAGAATGAACACATCAAGGCATGATAGTTTATGAAAGTCTATATGAACTAACAATAGCTAGCAATGATCTTTCATAAGTTTCTTAGGTTTTCTAGGCTATTCGTCTAAAGTGATATATATGTATATATATTTAATAGAACATTTTCTTAATTATAACATAAAAACTGTAACTAAAACCTTTTTTGAAATGTATCTAGAAATAGTTATAGTTGTACACAATGATGTTTTGATCAATATCAAGCAAACTACCCCCACCCCAAATCAAACAAAATCCAACGCTTTGATTTATATCATTTGTCCAGTTTCATGGTAAAAATATCCCTATCACAGACAATTTCAAGCTCTCAATGCACCGTCACCGAACAGGCACAGGAAAAGAGATGCACCCAGTCTGCTCTGTAGGGACACGAGCCAACCTCAGCATAGTGTTGGTTACTGATATCCATGAAATTGTGCACTTAGAAACCCGATTTCACAAGTAAACCCAAGAAGCTGATTTTGAATGAAAACAGACCCTGAGATTCTGCCAATAAGAACTGAGTTTGCAAAATGAGGTGGGGCAGTGCAGTGAAGTAACAGTGCTGAAGGGATACGGGCAGTCTGGCAGTGGGGGCAGCACACTTGATATGGCATGACTAAAATATTAACATGGTACAGTTACCAGTCATTCTGCTTCAACTAGCAACAACCTTCTAGAGTCTAAATGAAGGGATGAGGAGCGAGAAATATGGGACTGTTCCATCAGGAAAGAAAAAGTACCCATGTAGCACTGAAAGGGATTATTAAGAAATATGAATAAGAGGAAAGTATCGTATCATTTCTCAGTATGGTTAATGACCAGCAAAAATATGTTTTCCACATCCTTAGACTATATTCTTTGTGTTCCTCGTCAGTTAACTTTTCTGTGAAACATTTTTGTTCTATGTACTTATTTATGGGTGGACTGGAGCAATAGCACAGCGGTGTTTGCTTTGCACACAGAGAACCCAGCCAACCTGGGTTCGATCCTCCGCCCCTCTCGGAGAGTCTGGCAAGATACCGAGATGTATCCGATATGCCGAACACAGTAACAACAAGTCTCACAATGGAGGTGATTTGCCTGCTCAAGCAAATCGATGAACAATGGGAGAACAGTGTGCAGTGCTACTTATTATAGGTACATTGTTTATAAATTTCCTTGCCTCGATCCTTCTCAGAGAGCCTGGCAAGCTACCAAGAGTATCCCACCCGCATGGCAGAGCCTGGCAAGCTACCCGTGGCGTATTCAATATGCCGAACAGTAACAATAACGGGTCTCATTCCCCTGACCCTGGAAGAGCCCCTAATATGTGACTGGGCTATGGTAACATGCGATAGGGATGAATGGAGACATTAGTGGCACCTGCTTGAGCAAACTGAACAACGGGATGACAAGTGATACAAGTGACACAAGTACTATCTATTTATTTGAGACTATAGTGCATGTAGACCATATACCTCTCTTTGGATGAATATTCTACTTTTTTTTTTCCCAGTTTTGAGACAGTTGGAATACCCGGTGGGGGGGGCATGCTAGGAAGAGCTGTAGTGCAGGGGATTAATGTTCTGCCTTCCCTGTGCCTCCCAGAGTACCAGCTGCAAGGTTGGCCCCGGCAAATACCCCCAGGTCCTGAGCAGTGGCAGTCCCAGGCTCTCGCATTGAACTAGGTTTCCTGTTTATTGGTCTAGAATTGCTGGGAGGGGTCCCTAACTTCCTCAGGATAATTTTGGAGATCTGATCCCCAAAACTATTCATCTCTTTGTATTTAATTTTACCACAAGGTTGCTTTCTTTTTTCAAAAAAAATTCATTAAGTTTTGTTTTCTTACTCTTCCAGCACAAATTCAATTTGAGCTGTTTTTATCCTTTCCCTCAGTCCTCTTAAACAATTTCAAACCCTATTCTTCCTGTAGATCATGACAGCCACTGCACACACATGACATTCTTCGATTGCCCCTAACTCCCAGTCATAGTTTTGTGTTAATGGTACTTGAGGTACATCACTTATAATTATGTCATGGGTTATATACTGAATTACTTTTAACTTAATGTTCTATATACATATCTTCTCTTGTAACATATTTTTAAAAAGCTGCAATTACAGACTATACATAAAAAGGATAATGTTAAAACCAGTGGGAACTTTAATATTCAACCTCTACTGTAAAAATGGAAAAGCACTATTTGATAATTCTGAGGGTGGGCCTACACCAGGCGGTAC